GGGAAAAGCTTATTTTCACTGACTTGCAACAAATCAGTACTTAGTACTTCTTATATGCTGGCCCTAGAGCTAAACATTGATTCAGCTGCAAAAAAAAAAAAAGCTACCAGTTTGGTGGCTACAGAACTTGGGACTCAGCTCCTGCAGAATTGCCATGTTTCACTCATTATCAGGAAGAAGAGCACCTCTACTTGTTGTGCCAATCACGTAATAAGCATTTTGCATATACTGTCTCATTTATTCCTGGCATCAGCCTTGAGAGAGACAGGTTTTCCTTCAGAGGGGTGCTTGTTTGCCAGGAACATGTACTGTTGGTGGGGGGGTTGGAAGTCCCCCACATCATGCTATCTCCCAATATTGAGAGCTCCATGGAGATGTTTTTCACCTTTTTTGTTTTGGCTGGTAGGAAGCTCAGTGCCAGGGTTAAGGTTCAGTCAAATCAACTCTTTAACCCAAACTTATAACTTTTACTTGTATTTTCTTCTGAATGTTTGACAAATATCTTTTTGTTTATTCTAATGCCCCTAAATCTTACTGCAGCCAACCTCAAATTATGTTTACTCCATTTAAAATAAGTCTAAAATTTGTTTAAAAGATGTTGGTTTGGGGATGTTTTTCATAGAATCCAGAGTTTATTTGGTAAGAAAGTCAGTTACTAATTATTATACAATAAAAATGTATAATAATGTGCATTCTTTAATTTCAAGGACTCCAAAGGAACAGGAAAGTCTTTGTTTTGGTGTGTCCTTCCTCTGCCTGACCTGAGTCTGTTGCCTTTCATCCTAACCCAGTATCTGCAGTGCTGTTCTGTTGCCCACTGCATCACCTGCTAGTGCTCCTCATTTGGTTTGGGAGATGCAGACTGTGTGAGATACGCTGCCCAAGACTGGGGGCTTGTGCCCAAAGATGCAAAGGATGTGCCCTTCCCTGAGTCTGTGGTTACCTCCAGGGATCTCAGGCACTTGTGCTTGGAAAACAGTGGATGCTCACTGCAGTGCTCCTGGGAGAAGAGCATCACTGGTCCAGACTGATACTGTCTGAGAAGGGTTCAGGGTCTGAGCATGGGCAGGATGTGAATGAGTGGGGAAAGTGAGGTGCATCATTTCAGGGAAGATAAGCCATAAAGCCCATGTGGGAGTGACAGCGTCACCCTGAACAGAAAAGACCTCCAGGAGCCTTGTCTGAGGGAAAGTGGCAGAATGAGAAATGGTAAATAAAAGGGCAGCTAATGATGGAGGAGATGTTGCTAAAACTGACAGCAGATTTTGATTTTGACACTGGAGGCTATGAAGAGCAGTTTGCTCAGTAACAAAGGCAAGACTGTTACCTCAGAAAGCCTGGTTTTATTGCTGTAAGGACACTGGGAGAAGGGAGAGCACAGAGGAGCCACCAGCTGGGGGTTATTTGAAGCTGGCTCTCAGCTGGAAGGTTATGCCAGTCCTTACGGGCTTTCCGCTGCTCATGCCCTCCACAGGCTGCTGCCCATTTGTGAGGTGCCCCAGCCTCTAGATGACCACAAAGGCATGGCTCTCATGCTGTGCTAATTAAGCTTATGGCTATCAGCTCTTCATGTACGGATTGAACCTCTCTCTTTCTAGACTCTGGACCTACGTGCCCTACTGCATCCTGAGTGTCTCCACTGGAATGTTCCATAGGTACTTGGAATTCACTCTGTCTTTGTTACATTGCTTCTCCTCCTCTTTCCATACCTTGATTGAAAAGCACCATCATCCACCTGAGGGCCAAGAGCCCAGGCTCCAGCAGAGACAGTTTACCCCTTACTCTGTCCCCGCTAAATGCCAGTGTCTCTCCCCTTCTATGTGAATCGGGTCCAAACTCCTGTCACCATCCTAAAGCAATCTCTGTCCTTGACTGTGTCACTGCCTACCCTATAGCCCAGGCTGCCAGCAGTGGTCTCTCTGAATCACAAGTCTTTCACTCCTTTGAACTCCTTTCACTGACTCTCCCTAGCTTCAAGTTGTTTAAAACACGTGGCCTCTGGTTGTTTTTAGCCACATCTCCTTTCTGCAGCCCATGTGCAGCTCCTAACAAACCACACTGAGCTGCTTGCAGTTCATCAGAACTGCATGTTGTTGTGTCACATCTGCCCTTTCCTCATCCCAAAGCAAACTTCCCCTGTGCCAGCCTCACCCCCACCCGCAGCACACAGACATTTTTGCCTGCCTGGATACCATCCACTCTGCAGTATCCCTAGCAAGTAGCACCTCCTCTGTGGAGCCTTCTGCAGTCTCCCACTGGGATCTGAGGCTCTGCGCCGATCCCCTGGTCTGACTCTCATACAAAATAACTTCCTAACCGGTGTGGCCTGGCAGGAGAAACCATCTGTTTTTGCATCTCCAGTATGTGGATAGTGCTGGGAACATAATAGGAGGTCAATAAATATTTGGAGACTTAAAGAGTAAATACGTGTATAGAAAACATTGACAGAATTACTTCACATATTGAGGCCAGATGAATGCAAGGAATGGTCAGGGCTGGGAAGACACAGGTGTCCTCTGTGGGCACCAGCAAAAAACAAGCCATGAAGGCCAGAATAACCTATGTGTAGGCAGTGCAGAGAGAACAGGAGAGGCAATCCAAGCTTCAGGGGTACATAAACTCCAAAAGAGACCTTACTTTTCAGACTGCCTAATCTTCCCCACTAGCTGCAAGTTTCTGGAAGACTCAAGAAAATCCCAGGAAGCCTGGGCAGAGGAGCCGGGTGAGGAGATGTTTCAAGAAAGATGGTGTTCAGTAGGCACAGACCACATCCCCAAAAAGCCAGCAGAAGCAGGGAGTGGGAAAAGATTCCACGCTCACTTGTGAAAGGAGTTTCAGTGAAAGAGAAGGCCCCTTTGTGGCAGTATGTGGGGAAGTACTGCAGGAGCTGGCAGTGGAGGAAGACCAAGTGTCTTTTGGTGTAGTCAGTGCCTTGTTCCAAGACAGCCCTGTGGAGGTCACACCTACATTTGTTGGGGTTGCTTTTACCACAGTAAAGTAATTATGACCTTGTGCTACTGAGTGCATTTCCAATCAGTTGTGTAGCATCTGTACATTTCACAGCTCTGAGAAACAGTGACCAGTATGACAACTCTGTAGACCTTGCCTTATCTGGAGCTGAGGACCAGAGGTGGTAAGGGTCAGTGTATAGGGGACCTTAGGTTCATCAGGCTCAGCATTGTGGTAATGTTCCAGATGTGCTATGACCTCTGAAAGGTCTTTCTGACTGTCAAAAAGCCCTTGGATGATTATCTCAGGGGTTTGTGGCAATGAAAATTGAGTTTGCTACCTAATATTACTGTCTTCTACGATGCCCGTCTTTCCTTTCTCCACATGCATGATTTCCCTATTCTGTAAACCCATGCAGAGCAGTGTCAGGCATATTAACTGTGCACTCATAGCTCCTTGCCCTCTGGCTCCTGCCCCTCCCCTGGCATGAGTCACTTTACTATTTGCAGCTGCGGATCCTTTTTCTGCTGCTAGGGCATTGCATAACTTTTCATAGGTTTATCTTTTACTGATTCCCAGCAACACATGAGCTCTTGAAGAACAGGAACCATGTTTCATTTGTTCATGTCTCATTCGACTTTTAACACAGCATGCTGCCCTGAGAATACATGAGATATTGCCCAGTCTTCCAGAAATTTGCAGCTACTGGGAAAGATGAGGCAATCTGAAGAGTAAGGTCTCTTCAGGAGTTTATGTGAAGCCCTGAGGTACAGAAGGTGGGTGTGGCTAGTTCTCCCCAATGAGCTCTGCACAGCTGAGTGTGGTTCAGGGAATCTTGAAGAGGTTCTCAGTTCATGCATTGTGGCCTAGAACTGCTAGGGGGACAGGAAAGAATTGCATTTGCCTGTAGTCGGGATTGCTGTGAAGATGAGACTGGAAAGAAACCAAGCAGAGGGGGCTTGTCCACACTCAGAATTTTGTGTGTGTGTGTGTGTGTGTGTGTGTGTGGGGATGGGGTTATTGTGTGTGTGTGTGTGTGTGTGTGTGTGTGTGTGTAGGGGATGGGGTTATTGTGTGTGTGTGTGTGTGTAGGGATGGGGTTATTGTGTGTGTGTGTGTGTGTGTGTGT